ATAGGCTGGAGCATATAAGATCTTGAGGGTGGCACAGGACAGGGCAAGGTTCCAATCTGTTGTTCATAAGGTCGCTATGATTCACAGCTGACTTGATGGCACCTAACAATTACAACAACAAAAATAATGTTTTAGATAATGTGATAGAGCTATTTCTGCATTATCACACTGAGTTCTTGCAACTGTATAAGGAGTATTATCATCATGTTTTACAGATGAGGAAACTAAGGCCCCGTATGTAAGGTTAAATAAATAGCTCAAGGTCCTACAGCAATTAAGAGGTAGACTCTAGCTTGTCTGACTCCAAGCTCTGGCAGCTAGCCATTATGTGACCAGGTATGAGGACCCAAGGATGATTTCCAGTCTTCCCTCGGGATGTTTTGGGTGTGATGGTGTCACCATGTGAGGTGCAGAGTACAGGAGGAAAAGCAGGTTTGGAAAGAAGATGAAGTATAACCTCACACTCAAAAGTAATGTTTAAAATCAGGTAGGGCTAGTAAATGACCCATTGCTAAGAGACTGCCCTATAACTAACATGATACAATGAGGTACTAGAAATACAAAAGAAAAAGTATGACACACAGACCTATATTCCTTTAAAACACTCTATTGACCTTTTATTTTGCAGATGACTGTAATTATCCACGATGACACAGAATAAATCCTCCACAGTTACAAACCAAGGTGTCATCCCCATAGCATCTACTCACTCCAGCCCACAGCCCTGAAGTTCATTTCCACTTTTGGGAACCCTCCATTGGGTTTCCAAGGCTGTCACTATTTATGGCGGGAGATAGCCATCTTTTTCTTGAAGAACAGCAGGTAGATTTGAACCAGTGATTTTACGGTTAACAGCCCAACACTTAATGCCCTACACTATCATGACTCCTTCCCCAGAACCTAATAGGTGACTAAAATTTCTTTGGTTAGTACTATGTCCACGCCTGCTTTTACTGTCTCCACTATTTGCTGAGTTCAATCTACCCTTTCCTGTCCAAATCTGATGCTTTTAACACCCAAACAAAACCCAAATAAACACACACACACACACACACACACACACACACACACACACACACGGAGAGAGAGCTTAAATAGAAAATAAAGACTTGAAAAGTGGATATATGTTTTCAGTTTACATGCTATGGTGTTGGCCATTTTGTGCCAACGAGTTAGAAGCAACTCATAGTTGATTCTTTAGAAGGTTTTCAGAGGCTGAAAATCTCACAAGAGGAGATTGTTCATCTTTTTCCCTTGCAGCAGCTGCTAGGTTCGAACAGCGTGCCATTGGGTTGGCAGCACAACTCCTTGCCCACTAGACCACCAGAGTTCCCTCACATGCAAAAATCAGTTATAATGTTAAATGCCAGATAAATATTTAAGAACTATTTGCTCTCATTTAAAATACTACTGCGTTTTGCAGACTTTGGTTTTGAAATCACAGTGCTTGTACCTACCATCTTGATCCATGTTAAAACATTCCAAAGATGACAGTTAACCTTTTGAAGATACTATTAAGCATATAGGTTCACAAATTCCACCCCAAAGAAGTAAACAGTGTAAAAGGAATCTTATCAATGACAAGGAGAGCAGCTTAGTTTGACATATCAAAGATAAGCTTTACCATCTCACCCACCATCTGAACACTTTCAGGCATGAAAACATTTTCTCTACCTCTGGGGAAATTTAATTGTACTGATCTTGGCAGCAAACCCACAACAACGTATTTTATTTACAAAACCTTGCATTCCCAAGGGAAGATGTTCTGTGAAGATTACAGACAAGAACATATGGCTGGGTCCTCATTCCCTGACTGCTCGTGACAGAATCCTCTCCTGGGGCTGGCTCTGCTGCTGGAACTCCAGCAGGGGCGTGGGTCAATTGGAGAAGTCTCACAGGGCGCCACTCTGACTGTACATCTGATGGGGATTGAACTACATCCCCCTAAAAGTTACATGCTATTGGTAAGAAACTGCACCGCAATTCCAAAGGCATGCAGTTCAAATCCACCAGCTGCTCTGTGGGAGAAGGATGGACAATGTCTTTTTGTTCAATTTACTGTCTCAAAATCCTCTGGAGGGTGAGCTGTAGGTCAGTTCACAACAAAAACTACATCTAAATCCCTCTCCCAGTAATAGATTGGGAATCTATTTGGAAACAGGATTTCCTTTTGTTAGGTTAATGAGAACATCAAGTGGACTTTAATCTGAAAGGTGTCATAGAAAGAGCAGAGGGTCACAGAGAGCAAAGGAGATGATGCCTGAAGTCAAAGGCAGATGAATCTATGAGCACAGGACTGCCAAGGGCTGCCAGCAGCTACTATAAACTAGAGTCAAAGATGAGCCTTCCACTAGAGCCGACACCTTGAATTCAGACTGCTAACCTCCAGAACCATGAGACAATAAACTTGTGCGTGATCTTTAAAAGCACTCATTTGTGGTATTTGTGTTAGAGAAGCTCAAAGTAATAAAGACATCATATTGAAAAGCTTCTCCCTCCAGCCTCCTAACACCAAGTGCTGACAACTCCCTGCATCCTTTCCAAGTAAAATTGGAATTTTCACCTGTTCGAGATTGGTGTGTGTTTTTTTCCCCCCTGCTGGCATACTGCACTATGTGTTGGGCTGTTAACAAATAGAAAGGCTGGTTGCCAGCTACTCTGTGAGAGAAATATGCAGAAGTCTGCTTCTGTAAAGATTACAGTCTAGGAAGCGATGAGCCACCACCACCTTGAGGAGGAACATACTTCATTAGGTTTAAAAAGAAATAATGGTCGTAGAAGAGCCCTGGCTGGCACAGCAGTGAACTGTTCAGTCCAGACTCACCGGCCACCCCTCAGGAGAACGATGTGGTCGTCAGCTTCTGTAAAGATTACAGCCTAGGAAAAACTATGGGGCAGTTCTACTGTGTCTCACGGGCTCACTGTGACTTGGAATCAAGTCAAAGGAAACAGGTAGTAATGGCAGTGCTGTTTGGTACCATGGAGTCGACTACAACTCACAGTGACTCTATGAACAACAGCCCTAAACCCTGCTCTATCCTGTGCCATCCTTACGATATGATTTCTGATAACATCAAGACCACTGCTACAGTCACTGTGTCAACCCACCTTGTGGAGAGGCTTCCTCTCCTCCAATGACTTTCCACCTTTCCCACGATGATGTCTTTTTCCAAGGACTAACGCCCCATAACAACATGCCCAAGTTGTCTGAGATGCTGTTTCACCACTCCTGCCTCTAAAGGACATTCTGGTTGCACCTTCTCCAAGATATACTGGTGTGTTCTTTTGGCAGTCCATGGGATATTCTGTACTCTCCTCCAAGACTACAGATCAAAGACATCAATTCTTCTTCTGCCATCCGTATTCACTGTCCAACAGATGCACAGAAAGGGGTTGAAAATACCCTGGTCTGGATCAGGTGCACCTTAAGTCTTTAAGCTGACATTTTTGCTATTCAGCATTTTGGAGAGATCCCTGACAGCCGATTTGCCAATGCAACATGTCTTTTGACAGTAGCCAAAAAATTCAGTACAAATATCATATTTACTTTCAGCCTTTCTGCTCTGATTGTTGTTGTTGTTATGTGCCATTGAGTCACTTGCGACTCATAGCGACCCTATGTACAAAAGCCCTAAACCCTGCTCTATCCTGTGCCAATCACACTGCCTCGGACACACCCATCCCGATCACCCCAGTCACTAAATCAATCCACCTCATAGAGGGTCTTTCCCTCTTGCGCCGTCCCTCCACACTCCCCAGCAGGATGTCCCTCTCCAAGGACCTGTCCCTTCTTACAACATGTCCAAAGTGTGTCAGACGAAGCCCCAGAATCCTTGCCTCCTAGGAGCAGCCTGGTTTAACCCTCTCCAGGATGAATCTGTTTTCTTGGCAGTCCATGGTATAGTCAATACTCTTCTCCAGCACCACAGCTCAAAGGCATCAATTCTCCTTCTATCCTTCCTAGTCATTGTCCAACTCTCTGATGCATAACAAGTGATCTCAAAGACCATGGTCTGTATCAGATGCACCTTAGTCTCCAGAGTGACACCATTGCTCTTCAGTACTTTGGAGAGGTCCTTAACAGCAGACTTTCCCATCTGCTCTGATTAGGTCTCCCTTTTTTCTCTTGGTCTCATCTCCCTTGCATCATATTTTCTTCTCCATCTCCATACCCCCAGCTCCATGTTTCGTCTTCTCCCCTGTCTTTCCACAGACAAACACATACATAGGTGTACATACACCTTAATAACTTATGCACTGAACACTAACACAAATACAATTCAAAATATTCTATGATGAGCAGAGTAGCAATCAACAACTAAAACGTAATGCATTGGGCAAATATGTTGCCAAAGACTTCTTTAAGGTGTTAAGGAGCAAGGATGTCACTTCAAGAACTAAGGTGTACCCAAACCAATTCATAGTATTTTCAATTGTTTGAAAGTTGGACAATGAATAAGTAAGACTGAAAAAGAATCTATGCCTCCAAATTGTAGTGTTGGTGAAGATTATTGACTATACCATGGACAGCCAAAGAACAAACAAATTTATCTTGGAAGTACAACAGCCAGACTGTTCCTCAGAAGCAAGACCGGTGAGACATCACTTCCAGTACTTCGGGCATATTATAAGGGACCATTCCTTGGGAAAGGATACTGGCTTGCAAATGTACAGAGTCAGAGAAAGAGGAAAACCTTCAAAGAGGTGGAATGGCACAATGACTACAACAATGGGCTTACACACAGCATGGACTACGAGGATGGCAGAGGACTGGGCAGAGTTTCATATATGTTGAATATACAGAATACAGTCAACATAATATCCGGGACAGGGTCTAATAGTGGAAGCCAACTGGTGGGTACCTAACTACATGACATGAGAATGGCACAGGACGGGGTGTTGTTGTTTTTTTTCTTTTTTCTTTTTCAACTTGATGGCATGTAACAACCACAAAAGCAATGATGAATTCAGATACCCTTCCACCTCTGATGTTTACTCACCTAGGATCATCTCCAAACTGGTGGATTCTTCAGCCAGGCTCGCTGGTGGAGCGGGTAAAATATCATCATCAAAGCTGATAAGATCAATGTCCCCTGGGGGCTTGGATGGCAGAACTGGAACTGGGGGAGTGGCTGGGGTTCCTTCTCCCAGAGACCTGAATGCTTTGGCTTGTGATGCCACTGAGAGTCGGGGCGGGGCAGCCACTGGCTTCAGAGGACAGGCAGGGTTTTCTGATGAAACTGATATCTTCGGCAACAAAGGCCTTGGTGCAGGAGTTGGGACTTTCTTCCCACCATCAGGGCCCTTGGCCCGGGGTCCTCCTCCTGAGATCTCATGATTAATGCTCCGGATAAGGCCAGGATTTGGTTTCTTTGGCAATTCAGGTTTGGTTACTGGGATGCTGCCTGCTTCTTGAGGTGGAGGGTGTGGAACAAGCCCTTCCTGGGAGGATCCCTTGCATCTGTTTTCTGTCCACAAGTCCCATTCCCCAGAAGCTCTGTTAGCAGCTGGCTTGGGAGCCACCAGGGGTTTCCCTGAGGAAACAGTGGGCCGTGGTGGGGCTGTGCGTGGAACAATTTCTGGTTTCCTGGGCAGCCCTGAGGTTTCTGTGTTTGTCTGACCCTCAAATGTTTTGACTCTGGAGACAATACTATTTTGGTTTCGTTCTGTGTTCATAATGCTCATCACCGTCAGACAGTCCAAGCTGTTGGTACTGTCCAACAGAGGCTGAGGCTGGCTGGGGGATGGCTTCTCTTCTGTGACTGTGGCACTAATTTTCTGGTGACCTTGCTCTTTAATCTGAGTATTTCTGGCGACTGGTCTGAGGTTGCCTTTTGATCTTGGCCTTGGCACTGGACATCTTGAAGCACTGGGGATCTCTGGACAATTCTGTCCCTCAGAAGTATCAAAGACTATCAAAGGCGCCACATTTGAGGGAAGATCACTGGCTGAGCCCGCTGGGGAAGGCTGAAGAGGTGACTGCAGTGCTGGGGAGATAGAAAGGACAAGAAGTTGTAGTGTTGTAGAAGAGAAAAACAAACAACAAAAAGCCCAAACAAAACAGGAGGTAACACTGTATCTCCTTAATATATCATATAGAAGAAAAAGATACTGACTTCAATCACTAGTAAAAAGTTAAGACTCTAGAACCTCTGAGGAAATACTTTTATTCAGCTTCCTACAGGAATATTCTTTATATTCGTGGATATAACAAACATTCATTATAAAATATTTAAACCCCTGTAAGTCTCTCAGTCTCACCAGATTATCATTTCTCTTTGGCTGTCAAAATTTCAACATCTCTTGCTTTACTTTCCCAAAGCAACTCACTGTCACCTCTGTTGCTCTACCACAAAGACTTTTTTTAAAGCCAAGTAAGACAATCACCCTTACATAACATGCTAACCAATTCCTGTTGCTAAACAGAACATTCTTTTTGGGAACACAGGGCCTCGGCAGTCACATCCACCATGAGTTAAAGTGATGATCTGTTTATGTTAGGAACTTGAGTGAGTCCATGAGATGGGGTGGTGACTTGGGAGAAAAATCTAAGACAATAATCATGACATACTCAAATAAAGAACGTGAGCAGCGAGCACACAGACGGTGAAGCCGAGCTCAATGAATTATGTACAAATTGCAAATTATTTTAAAGGTTGGAATCCTACTGATTACATCCCTAGAAGTACGTTAGCATCAGGAAGGACATATTACTTGCATTACTTTGAGGCAGATGGTTGTCTATTTCTTCTGAAAAGTCAGTCTGAGTGGCCGAGGTGATAGTGTGCCTTGGAGGGGCAGCAGCATTATTATTATTCGTCGTGTTAACTTGAACTTGGTTGATTTCCTTTATGACTTGTTCATAAGAAGGCGGGAGCTGCAAAATAAGGAATGGAGATTTCAGAAAACTCTGGGCAAATAGCCAAAGTGCTAATAAGTCTCATTGTTCTTAACTCTGAACTTCATTTTAAAAATGAAATGTAAATGAAACACAATTTAAAAAAAGTAAAGAGACAATGTGATTTGTATTCACCTCAGCAGGAACCAGCTCACTGGGCCTCCACGGGCTGGTGGAGGAAGGTGGGGGAAAGCCCAGGCCTGGAGGAGGGGCTCCCGGGAACCACGAGGTCGGTCTCAGGGGCTCAGCTGCCACGATGGTGATTTCAGGGCGCCTGCAGACAGAGGTGTCAGTGAGGGGCTGCAGGCCAGAAAGAAGCTATTGTCTATCTGCAAAAACAACCCATCTGCAAAGTTATGTAAGAACCGCCACATTCATGGGACTCACTGGCCCTGCTTAGGGTGGTGCGAACACTACACACAAACGGGGCAAATGGTAACCATCCTCTAAGTTACAGATGGATCTTGCATCCATTCAGCCTTGTTGATAAGGATAAGGACAAACTAGTCATAATTAGACTCATGATGATCCTAGGTGTGCAGAGGACAGTCTGTTCTATGGGGTTTTCAAGGCTGTGACCTTTCTGAAGGAGTCTGCTAGGCTTTGCTTCCAAGATGCCTTTGGGTGGGTCTGAAGCATCAGCTCTGCAGTTATAAATCACACACTTAACCATCTGTACCACACAGGGGCTCCTAAGACTAATTTCAGAATGCAAGTCAAGTCATTGCTGTGAAGTTGAGGCCAACTCACAGCTGACTCTTCAGGGGGTTTTCAGAGCCTATAAATCACATGGAAAGGGACTGTCTATCTTTCTTCTGTGGAGCAGCCACTGGTGGATTCAAACTTCTAGAGAAGCATGACCTCTGAGTCAGCCGTGCAATGCTCTAGGATTACACAACTAGAGGTCGCCAGCAAAGACTACTTCATTGCTGTGTACCACTGAGTTGGATTCATAGCTAACCCTCAGCAGAGTTTTAGAGGTAGTAAATCTCACAGAAGCTAATTGTCCACCCTGTAGAGCGGCTGGTAGATTTGAACCATGTGCCTTTAGGTTGGCAGTGCAACTCCTTACCACAAAGCCACAAGTGTGCCAAAGACTACTTAAGACTACCATACTCTCTCCTCTTTCGAGGATTCTGTTATCTGACCCACAGCACAAACACAAACATATCCTAGAATATAAAAATGCACTGGTCAAAGGGAATTGTTTAGTTTTCTGTGATTTTACTTGGAAATGAAAATGACCATAGGAAAAGAATATTTTCTTCAGCCTCACTTCAAAGTTATCTGTATGTGATTAGCATTTGCATGTCTGCCTTCCTGGTCAGTTTTATATATGACTGGATGATTTATTTTAATACCAAGGAGTAGTAGTGATTTAGAGGTGTTTTCCTAAAGTATTAGGGAGCTCTGGTGGCCTAGTGATAAGGAGCTGCATTGTTTCCCAAAGGAATGGGGTTTGAATCCACTATCTGCTCCATGGGAGAAAGATGAGCAATTTATTGTTGTTGTGTATTGTAGTAGAGTCAGAATCAACCCACAGCTGACTCTCCAGTAAGTTTTGAGAGGCAGTTAATTGCACAGGAGGAGACTGCCCATCCTTCTCCCAGTGAGCAATTTACTCCCAAGCAATTTACTGCTTCTCCAAACTCACTGGAGGTTCAGCCATGAGTCGGTTCTGAGTCTACAGTACGCAACAACAACCTCTTATTATCTTAACTTAATGCTAAATATTTGTTTACATTTTACCTTCAATCTGATTTCCTAAAAAAAACCCCCAAACAACTAAAACCAAAAACCAAACCAAAACAACACAAAACAACAACAACAAAAACAAAAACAAAAAACCAAACAACAAACTAACTATGTGACCCTGAGCAAATCAATCATTCTCTCCAAGTCTCAGTCTTTCTGGTTTTTTGTTAGGTGCTTTACACAAACTCATCATTAAGAAAGCCTAATGAGAACAGCATGATTGTTGCTGCTATTATGTCATGCACCAAATGGGCTCCAATTTACAGTGACCCTCTGAATGACAGAATTATACATGGCTCTGTCCTGTGCTAACCTCACCGTCCTACTGTGCATGAGCCCGTGGTTGCAGCCATTGTATCAATTCATCTTGCTAAAGGTGTTTGTCCTTTTTGCTAAGTCTCTATCAAACGTGATGTCTTTCTCTAAGGACTGGCCCCTTCTGATAATATGTCCACAGGATGCATGTGTTGATAAGGCAGAATACATAACATATGGCTTATGAAAAAGAACCATTTATTTAACTTGATATGTGATGGCATAGCTATATTTCAATCATTAATAGAATATATGCTCTCTCTTATAACCACTACCATACCTCCTATCTCGATGAAGTTCATTTTGAATCGAAGTTCTTGAAGCTGTAGAAGGAAAAATAAAATTAGCATACTTCAAATTAGTGCATTCAATGTAGGCTTAAATTTTTATTAAGGATGCCGTGGAAAAAAGGTAGCATACCCTTGATAAGATATACAATATAAGGATTTCAGTATCAATAAGTAGAAAAGGAAATAAAGGTGATCTTTTTATTATGGTAAAAAATTATAGTTAAAAATTAAATTGCATATGAAAATAGAGATTTCAAAACTCCCCGAAGCACATTCTATGGTTCTGAAAAGAATTTGAAGAAAGAAGATAGCTACTGAATATAAACTGCATAGTAAGAGAGCATTAAGACAATGACATGAGATGACAATGGACAGGGAAAAAATTTAAGTACCTATTCTAGCCGTGTGACTATACTTTAGTCATATTCGTTTATAGCTACTACCAAGAGGATGGAGGTAATAAAATTTTCACCTATTATTTTCTAACTTTGTTGGAATTTTATAATCTTTATTTTACTACTTAAAGAGACCATAATAATAAACACAAAAAGTTCAAGTTACTGTCACAAACATGGTTATAAAATATAGCATTATACATATAAGTATTGACTTTTACCTCAAAGTTCAAATTTTAAAAGTTAGGTGGTTTAAATTTTTCCTATATTTTATTTTCGAAGTACAATAATTCTTACTCAGATGACCTGGAAAATATATGGGATCAATTTCTGTGTAACAGAGGACATTATCCTTGCTTCTAAGGAGCACATTTCTAAAGATTCCTTCATAAAAAAAGAACCAACAACCTTTATATATTGAACTGTAAAGATCCGTGCACAAAAGGGAATTTGTCTTGACCATAAAGCATCTCTATCAGTTGCCTTCTTATTTCTCCAATACTCTAAATTTCCCATTTGAAATGATCAGAGGTATGAATTATTTCTTCTTCCTCCTACAAGGTTTCTGATCTCTGAACTGAGAGGCTGTCAACGACGGTGCAGGAGACAGAGGGTAGAAAGGGAGATGACATTTACGCTGGGGTTGGTATTATGACAGTTGAACCTATGTTGGGTTGGTAGTGCAGATCTTTCACCTCAGAAACCATTATCTGAGCTAGACGTCGAGTTGGAGGATGCTCTGGATTTGTGTCATCAACTGGTTTCAGAGATGATTTCATTTTTATCAAGAGCTAAATCAAGTTGAGGGGTGTTCTATCTACCAGTATGAAAGAAGACAGGGAGACCAGTGCTCTGTGGGTGTGTTTGATTTGTGAGAACGGCATCATTCGTCAGATTGTGCTGCCACCAAACCGCCACCATCGCTAAAGCCAGAATCAGCAGACAGCGCTTTTAGAAGACATCACGTGAGCGTCACAAACATACCTCTTCCACGGGGCATTTTTGCAGTGCACTATTCATGAGTACTAAGGG